CTTTTAGGTGTTCTCTTTTTTTGTGCTGTCAGAAAAGTATTTCATTTCCTCTGCCATGATATTTAAGGGAAGTGCTGATACGAAAGATTAGCCACAAGTTATTGCACTACGTGTGAATTTTAGAGTGCCTAAAAGATCCTATTAAATCATATTTCCAGTAACTATGGATACTAAAATGGGGTCACAGACTTGGTGTTTAGTAATCAGTGAGGGATGCCTCATTTCTTACACTGTTTTTCCTTTAAAAATGCCTTGAGGGGCAATATAATTATCTTAACTTTTAAGTGGAGTCTGATTTTAAGAACACGTAAGGCTCAACATCTGTTTTCAGTAGAAGTAAATATGTATTTTATTTGCCATTTGTCTTAAGTTTTATACACTTTTAAAGTGCCAACTTGTATTTTGAAAACACTCTCAAAGGTTGTTTCAAGTGAAACTCTGAATGTTACAGGTGGAAAGAGATGATTTTCCTTGGAATAAATTGTCTTAAAGACGTTGCCCTCGGGCTTGTTTTTGCAAGGCCAGTTCTGTGTGCGTGTCCGGGCCCGTTATTAGTGGTGTGTGACGTAAATACACTGTTGTTAGATGTGTTATCATGTTTCCGAGCAAACTTTTGCAGCGAGCAGGGCAAATGGGACTGAAAATCTTTCAGTCCAGGTAGGCCGAGCTGTGCCAGGAGAAGAAACATCACTCCAGTAAAAGCAGAGTTGGGATGTGTATTTGTGAGTAAAACCAAGAGCATCCTCTTGATATATCAATATCCTCTTGATAGCAATGCTTTTTAACCTTACCTGTCTTACTGGCAATATTCAGGAGAATGTGAAGAGACTTTTAAAAGAGGAAATGGTGTGTGATGCCAGACTTTAGATGGGGACCAAGCGAGAGATGCTGCTCGTCCTACTTTGATGTTTTGTTTCCTTTCCCCTTGCGCTGTGAAAGCGAGATGGGGAGAAGCTGCTTAGCCACCGGCTTAGAGACGAGGGTGACGTGCGAAAAGCCGCCTGCCGCGAGAGGATATTCAGCCTCCGCGCAGCGTGGAGGCAGCGCCTCGCTTGGAGGGGAGGCCAGGCCGACGCGCACCCTGGCGGGTAGCGGGGTAGCTCCGTGACAGCTACCAGTGCTGCTTTGACGCCAGCTTCTCGCTAGGGGTGGAAAACAAGCAGAGGAAAACCAGGAAAAGCTGTTTTCAAACTGTGGGGCAAGCCAGGGACACAGCGCACAGCTCCTTGCTGGTGCAGCCAACAGCACCTTTGGGGAGCGCCAACACTTGGGACGTCTCCGCAGGCTCCCTCCACCCCATCCCGCACTCCTTTTCAGTGTTTACTGGATTCAAAGGTCCCCCTGATCTTTCAGCCATTCTGTTCAGTGAAGAGAGGATTTTTTTTAAAGATATTTAATAAGATATTTTCTTCAAATCAGTACAAAAATTTTAAATACAAAATTATTTGCTTTCGACATATCTCATATATTCTGGAAACATACTGAAGTCACCAATGTCTGGTAAGCTGTCCATTCCTGCCAACGTTCCATAAAATTTCTGAGATCGAGCACCACATTATATCACTGGAGTCCTTAGTCAATGTTAGACTGCATTAAACTCTGCATTTAAATAATGGTAATGCCAGTTAAATCCAATTTTAGTTCTGCATGAAAAATTCTAGTTCATTTTGAATCAAAAGCGGTAGCATTAGCTAAGACACTGAAGAAGTGATGAGTACTTAACTTTTTCAACTAACATAACAGTGTGTGATGTGCAGCACTGTACAGGGAAACACAGAAAAATACACTGTTATTTTTATTTTTTAAATTAATCTTAACACTTTTGAGGTGAGATTAGCACCATTGATGAACAGATAGTTCTTGCATAAAAGTAGCTTTCCCCACATATAGACAAGTTTGAGGCCTGCAGATTCTCTTAGACAAATCAGTAACATACAAAATATGGATCAGAAACCATCTTTTTCATGAAATGAAGTTCTTGGGTAAATTTGGATGACCAGCGTTGCTGACAGAGATGAGCATTAATCTCAAATTACAAATTAGTTAATTAGCAAACAGCTGCTACTGTTTTGCTACTCGCTGAAGAGTAAAGTGACTTAAATTTTGGCTAAGTTGCAGAATACGCGTATCCTCTTAGAGGGAAAGTAGACTGCAGATGCTTAGCACAAGTCCAGACAGCCAACCAAATTTACACCACTTTGCTGTGTTGCCATGTGTTGGCCAAAGTGCCTTAATCACATGGCATAAAGGGAATAGGAATCCCTTAGAATTTTGTCTCTCATCTACCTCATCTATTTCAACTTTCTAAATGCACAGGAGGCATCAACATTATTTTCATACAGGTATTGTTCAGGAGAAAACTGCAGGAATATTTTATATAGGGGGAAAGGAATTAAGGATCTCCAGCTAAGAGAACCTTTGCTTGTCAGGCAGTCCTGCTGTAAAAAATATAACAAATGAAAAGCCACTCAAATTGCTCCCTGTAATTTGAGGCTGACTTGCTCTATTTTAAGTTACTGTTGTCATCTTAATAAGCATGATCAATGCATCAGTCAGATACACAACAGGAGTGAGTGACTTACACTGATTTGAACCTTGGTACTGTATTACTGTGAATGAAATGGAGTAAGCATGGTATCACAGAAATATATAACGTACTGCTAATATGTCCCCATTGGGTACAAAACGACTGTTTATGAACCTGATACACATCTTTAAATATGTTCACCCACCATGTTTTTTTTATAACTAGCTGTGCATAATGTTAAACTTTGTATTTATTCTTTTTGTACAAGATGGTCCGAAATGGTCATTAAATGCATCTTTCATGGTATAAAAGATTGAAGCAGAGAAGAAAGATTTTGATTTTTTTTTCCTTTCGGTCTGATTTTTGTTTTGTTTTGTTCTGTTTTACATGAAATACAATAAATATCCTGAAAAAGACGAGTGAACGTACTGCCCCGCGTAGAGTCCCGCTGCCTGCTCGGAGGGCATCTGCACGTAAACTTTGTCGCCAGGCACGAGCTGGACGACGGCGCTGCCCGAAGCCTGGTCCAGGAAGCCCTTCTTGTACTCGTCATAGGTGTACATGAGCGGCTCGTTGTTCTTGAACAGGGCCACCCACACGCTGGCCCCTTTGCAGTGCACGTGGTAGGCGAAGTAGTAGATGCCGGGGATCTCGCACGTGAAGATGCCCGTCTGCGGGTTGTAGTTCTGCCGCCCGTTGTAGAGGAGCTTGTCGAACTTGACGGGCACGCCGACCCGTGGGAAGGGGGTCAGCAGCTCCGCCGTGAAGGCCGGCATCTCGTAGACAACGCCGACGCCGGGCTTGCCCTTCTTGCCCGCGTAGCCGTAGGGCGGCTTCACGCCGTCCACGCCAGGACCCACCTCGGGCATGTACTGTCCCACGGCCGGCGGCGTAGGCGGGATGACCACGGGGGGACCGGGCGGACCGGGAGGCCCGGGGGGTCCCTGCAGGCCGGGCTGCCCCGGGGGGCCGAGCGCGCCGG